CTTTAATTAAGATGGGGTGAAGAAAATCCTCGTTGCGAATATTACCCCGCTTGCAGAAGTTAACCGACTCGCGTGTTGCACCCCGTCCCTGCTCGAAAGTCGGCTCCGCAACGTGGAGCTAAACGTTTTTTCAACCCGGAGGGTCTTGGTTTTTCACCAAAATGTGCCTCCGCGCAGATAAAAACGCCTATTTCTATGCCCGAAAAGGAAAATACCCAACCGATTACCACCGCGAGAGTCCGAGGTCAGGATAAAACCAAACATGCACCCAGGGCCACGAGTGCTTTTTTTTTTTTCCTCTTTTTTTTTTTTTTGAAGCCGGTTAGCTGCTTCCACCACAGAGAGCAGACCGACGGTTCAGTATTTTCCTTGGCCAAAGCCTCCTGACGGCGCTCTTCTATTGACTGAAACCATGTTTTTTTTGTCGGGGCGAGCGGCGCTCAGCTTCGCTGCCTTTGCCACCCAAGTCCACCTCGACGACTGGTCAAAGTCATCAAGCTATAGGTGGCTTAACAAACATGCAAATCTCTTGATTTAATCAGACCTCTGACGCACATCGGCTCAAGTCTTGGCAGACCCGAGTCTTATCCCCAATTCTACCGCTGCCGGGAGGCTGCGAGCCCATCCCTTCACAGCCCCGTGCCTCAGTTTCCCCAGCGATGACGGGCGTTACGCTGCTCCGCCAAACTGAGATCTACTGATTAATAAAAAAAAAAACCCAACAACTCCTTGCACGCAAAACGTCTTATTATTTAAAACACGTGATGGAGCCACTTGCGCACGAGAAAACGCACCGCCAATGCGCTCCACCAGCACTTTCCTCTCCGTGGAAATGGGCTTAGCTTTCTGGTTTAACTGGTCAGAAGCCCAAAGAGCAGTCGCTACGTGTCTATACCTTTAACGGGCTCTACAGGCATCCATTTTGGAGAGGAAGAAACCCAACGTATCGAACGGCTTTTCGATGCCGAACTCTCCCCTCTCCGATCGAGCGTGCTCGCTGCGACAGCACTTCCAGCCGTTCTTCCCCTCCCTCCCTGCTAGGGTGGCACCTCCGAGGGACATGAGAAAACCACGCCGGCTCCCGGGTCCTTCAAAGAAACCTCACGCGGGGTCATTGCTGTCACGCGGCCATCTTGCAGGCAGGCTGGCCGGGAGGGCCACCCACGGATCGCAAACAAAGCCATCGACTCTGTTGACAGAAGAGACAGTTGAAATGAGTGCTTGAAGGGCTCCGTTTACACGAAAGCCAGGTGGAAGAGGAACACAAAGCCCGGACGGTGACGCAAAACGAAGCTCTGGACCATCCCGATGCTTTTCAAACGCTCTGGGGGGAAAGCTGTTCCCAGTTGCAACACGCGACCGCACTCGGGCGATGCCGCTGTAACCGGATCCCTCCAACTCGTTTGGAGATTTTAAAGGACACAGACACAGGCTAGAGACCAGAGCGAGCATAACCGTCCCCTCAGCAGGCCAAAGGGGCCTCGACGAAGGACCGGTCTTACATGGCAGCAACCAACGCCGTCCTTGCCACCGCAGAATGGACGAGCGTTCGCACCAGCCCACTGTCCTGCCACCGGCGACAACACGATGAGCGCGCAGGGGCGAGCTACGGACATGCATCCCTGCCTGCGACCCTTCCCAGAGGGGCAAACAGCTGAGGAACAGGGGCCTTCAGCTGCTCTCCATCGCCCGATGGCCCTCAGCCTTCAGGACACGCCAAGGGCAGGGTCTGGTGCACCGCAAGGCGCAATTTAAATTACTCATGCCCCCGCGGTGGGTGTAGCCGAGAACCCAGCTATCTCCGGGCATCTCGGCCAACCCCGCAGTTAAAACATTTGGACGTTTCTTATCGGCACTTGGAGAGGATTAAAATGCCAGGTCATATATTAATGAGGGAGCAGGTTATAGACCCATCTCAGCTTGAACACCGTGTTCACGTCAAGAAAAGCAAAGCAAGAACAGGACAGATCAAAAGAGAGCCATTAAAGGCGTGAGAAAATGGTGCTGCCATATAAGGAGCTAATAAAGTTAGCAGCTCTCCAGTTTAGAGGGGGGCGGGAGGGAAAGGGCAGGAGAATCAGAACACATCCTTGGGGTCCACACAAACAGCCAGAGACAGCCTCACTTTGAGGAGGAAACGTCAATTAATAGAAGCGAGTGGACAACACTTGAAAAGGCAAGTGCGTACATTTTTAACGCGGCGTCTTACCCAAGTGGTGGAGCTCGCTGCCACGTGTCGCTGGGACTGCTTGCCAAACATTTAAAAAAAGCAAAGATCAGATACCGAACAAGGACAGCAACCAGAGCTCTATCTGCTAAGACCGTTAACTTCCTATACTTGGTTCTGGCTTAGCAAAAGCTCTGCGTTCCGTGCTCGCAGCAGTGCAGCTGGAGGTGGGGAAGGGAGGCATTACGCCTCTCCCCGTAGCTGGGGACATCGGCCAGCTACATCGACCGGGGACTCGCATGGATTAGAGCGGTCACGTTAGCGGCACGCAATGATTATCCCCACCAGTGTCCAGTATGCATCCAGCTTTCTTTGCTTTTTACAGAAAAACAGTAGGTTACCCAGACAAGAGCCCTCAGACACCACCAGAAACACTCGGAGCATTTCTTTGTTCGAGCCGGCCAGCTCCAGCTCCAGCCACCAACTTGTCATTATAATATGTATCTACGTGCCTTTCCTGCTCATTGACTGTATTTATTAAAATGACAGTATGGCAGCTGAATATCAAATTGCCAGCTAGGCTTTTATCTCATTTTTAAGCCAGCCTGAATTACTGGCCTAATTTTATTGCTTACCCATTATGTTTTATGCAACGGATAATTTTCTCCAAGAAGGAATTGGTGCTGTTTGATATTTGGGCTCATCTGTTGCCAAGACAGAGGATATTGGCTCACACGTTGATAACGTTTTGAACACGAAGCCTGGTTCTGGATCCTAAGCAACACAAAGTATAGGATTTGTATTAATAAAGCTACTGATTTCGGTGCTGTCCTCTTTGAGGGTCAGTGCTCCAAATCTTCACGATGAGATGACTCTGTCCGGAAAACTCCCTTCACGTTTTTGAAACGCAGTATTTAGTAATTTATTTTCAAACGC